GGTTTGGGGAGCTGTTTGGGTTGGTGGGAGATCGAGCTCAGTGGAGCGCGTCGGCAACATAAATTTTGCGATATACATTGAAATATTGGAGGAAGGACTTTTGCCACTTTATTCCTCGGGTTTCGTGGACAAGAACACAATGTTGTTCCAGGAAGATGGAGCACTGCTAAAAACACCCCAAAGTGGCAGGAATAAAATGGTATCCAGAAGTTGTACTGGCCGAGCCAATCTCTTGACATGAACTACATCGAAAACTTTTGGGCCATACTCGACCGGCAAGTCAAGAAACAACCAAAAAAAAAAAAAACAACAACAACAACTTCGAAGAGCGATCTACTCCAAGTTTTGAAGCAAGAGTGGGCAAAAATCTCACAATCTAAAACTGACGAGATGATTCTCACGATGTCCCAAAGGATCAACGAACTCCACGAAGCGAAAGGAAGATCCACTAGATATTAATTAAATTATAAATATATCAATACATGTGAATATGACTGAAAAATTTCATTTTTTCTGAAAAGGTGGTGTCTGTTTACTTGTGACCACGCTGTGTACAAAGACCTAGAGTTTATCAAGTTAAAAAAAACTATGTAAAATTTAAAATTATTCAAAAAAAGTTATTAGTCTACTACAAGCTTGTAGAAACATTTGTAGGGATTTGTTTATTTATGTTCTAAGCATTTGGGGTTTGTGCAAAGAACAATTAACCACCAGAGGTCAATAATAAACAAATATGGAGGACGACTTAGAAGAAATGAGAGCTCTGCGAGGTAAATTCAATCGAAGTTTCAGTTTATTGAGATATTTGACATGACTTGATGTGTGGGTGGCGTGTATTTAATTGTTTTTTTATTCATTATGTTTATTATTCATGTATATTAAATTATTTTATTTTATGTATAGAATTTGTAAATTGTAGTCGACGTCTTACTCTTGCCATTTTACTTGCCTATGTAGTATTATTAAGAAATTATTATTATGTGGAAAAAACAATCATGACAAAAATGTAACCCTTCCACGTTTCAACCTAAGACATGGTAACCATTACTTTGATAATTTCTATTTGTTGAAGCTAGTTGTATTAGTTTATAAAATTAAGATTATTCTTGCTAGTTTTTACGTGTTTAGCCTTTGGCTTTGTCAGTGTTAACTCTTTTGTAATTTTATGTTTTAAATAAAAGAAACTGCTAATTTTTCATAAGATTTTTAATTACTTGTCTCATTTTCAAGTTTTGAAAATATTTCATAATGATCGTTATTGGCATCAAACTGTCACAATTCTGTTATAATTATTTGGTCATACTCATTTCACCAGAATGTTCGATTAATTAAAAGTTTAAATTCGATGATGCGGAATCAACTTTGAGACTACTAATGGTTGGAGATGGCTTGAATGGGTAATGAAGAAAACTTTAATACAAGTTTAACACAACAGCAAATGTACAACGTTGCGACAAGGTTTCATTTGCTGTTTTGTTAAACTTATATTAAAGTTTTTTTTTTCATTACCCATTCAAGCCATCTCCAACCATAATTAAAAGTTTCTTCCTATACCATGGAATTAGAAAAACTGAAAAAGAAATTGTATTATTTTGTATTAAAAAACTACAATTGAGTTTATTTCATGATTGGGCTTTTTTACAACTGCTTTTATGAAAAATAATGTTCATAATTAAAGTTTTTCTTTTTTTCTTTAAAATTAGAGAGCCAGGATTCAAGGCAATTTAGAGACAACAGACAAGTATTGAGTAAAGGAAAGGTAAATTATGGAGGAACAACAGAGGAATTTAGCAGAAATTTGTCAAATAAAGAAGATTCTGATGACATGTCAAAACTTGTGGGTTTCTCAGGATTTGGTAAGAAATATTTATTCAGTTCATGTAGTGTACATTTTTGTTTTTGGGTCTATATAATCATATAAAATGTAGCTGTAATTTGTGGTTTATGTCAAAATTATTTTTGTTTTCAGGGAAAAAAGCTAGAACATTTGACTTTGAAGCAATGTTTGAACAAACTAGGAGAGCTGCAATTGAGAGGAATCAGAAAAATGAAGGTAGAAACTATGATATAAATAACAGTTAAAAGCATGAAAATTTAAACAAAAACAAGTAAGCTACTCAGAAAGCATGAATATTAAATATTGTTATTATTCTGAACTTTATGTTTATATCGCTGAGGAACCTGAAGGAAGCTGCTTCTGTTATTGTGCTTGAGCCAACTAATTTAATTACCTGAACCTTAAATTATATTAGTAACTAGTTTTGTAATTGTTAAAAAATACTATGTTTTGCAAAAAATAGTTTATTGTGTATAATGCTATACATTTTAAATCTAAATTTCATATTTTTACTACTACACATGAGTGTGTACTTTGAAAAAAAATTATATATTGCTGTCCTGAATATGTAATGAAAGCAGATGAAACCTTGTCATCATTGTTTTTGTACGTGTACCTTTCCAGAATTAAAAATTGAGAACTTGGTTTCTCAAGATGCACAGAAGGATAATAATAAGCAAGTGGCACGCCTTTCAACTTCACAATCTAAAGAAGATAATGACACTTCATCTGATGATGACATTATTGGACCACCTATACCACCTGAAATTAAAGCCAGGTTAGAAGAGGAAGGTGATGGTGAGAGTGAAGAAGAAGATGATGGTGAAGAAATGGTGATTAGTTTGTCATATAGAAATAGTGAATAAACTGAACTAATCAGTAATGATACATATTATTGTTGTTAAACAAAAGAAAAAAAGGTGATGACCAGTTTATAGCATTCTTTGAATATTTTAGTATGCAGGTAGAGAGAATACCAAAACATACTGGGCAGTATATTTTGCTCTATTTTAAATGTTATTTTTCATTCTTTATTGAAAGAAAATAATTTCATGTAAGGATTAAATAAGTAATCATTAATTAAAAGAGGTTTAGACATTTTTTTCTAATTTGTAAAATGGACTAATATGAGTAAAGCAGAAGGGGATTGCTGCCCATCCCTGTCACTCCTTCATTGGTGTCTGCTTTTCAAAATAGGGTTTCACAGTCTTCTGTTGCACTGCCTCTGGTGCTGTGTTTCTCCAGACTCTCCAACACATTATTTTCCCCCAATTCTTCCACACCAGTTACCAACTCTGGGGTGGTGGACCATGGAGGCTTCCTTATGAGTGTGCTCAATTCTGCTCAGCTGAGAGTAGGGCAGTGATGTTCTCCTAGTGTAGATGGTGTATAGACACTACTTCTACTACGGACCTGATGTACTATTCCAGATGCAGCCATGTTATGGACTGGACAATTTCCACTAATATGCAGCTCATTCTTCTGGGGAGTACTGGTGTTAGTTGGAGCTGGACCAGGCACACTGGAGGATTCATTCCCAATGCTGCCTGATTCTGGACCAGAGTTGAACCACCACATAGTTGTCCTCCTTCCTACCGTCACCCAGATATTGGTTTGCTGGGGGTACTGGTATTGGTTGTGTGAGACACGCGTACATGATGATGATGCAGATCCTTGGAACAGAAGATCTTCTTCCCTTCCAATTCCCATGTCCGAGGTGAAATGTAGAGGAACCTCTTCCTACCATGGGCTGGATATTCCTTAATACGGCTGTGTTGGTCTGCTGCATCATAGCCACTTCACACCAGGAGTCCCTTCATTTAATTTATGGGATTCCTCCTATGTTTCCACTGTTATTGTGACATATCATTTTCATGGGTGAAGAGTATACCTGGCTTAGAAGCGGTGCTGTCTCCCACAGATGTGCCTTACATGCTCTTTATTCACACTCCCCATAGGCTTATGCTTCTTATGGAAGAGGGCTTCATAAGCATTCATAAAGAGGGCTTATCTAGATAATGTTACACTAATCTCTCCACCAGGTCAATGTAGGACTCTAGTCACTCTGTAAGAGGAGGTAAGATATTGTATCAGAAGTTAACATTTTCCTACACTAAAAATCTATAGATTTTTACCTATGCTTACACTTCCCACCCTTCCTCCACATTTCCTGTGTCCTTACCTTTTCTGTGGCTCAATCTTGAAGTGATTTAGTGTTAAGCTACATAGAGGGAGTCAGCTGTGCTGGGAATTGTGTTGCACTGCTATTGGTGGAGGGTTGTCACATGCTCATTTGCATGCTATCATGCAGCTGCCTCACATGAAAACATGTTTGAGGGTAGTTGGGAGTATCAAGGCTAGTGGTGAGAATAGATTTGTGCATATAGAGGGCAGTACAAGTTGAGAAACAACTATTCTGTGAGATGAGGTAAGAATCTATTGGAAATACATTTTCAGTGTAGAATGTGAACTTTGGTTTTTATCTACTTTTAGAGAAATATGTACTACAATATTTTATTTTATCCAGAACAGGTATAAGAAAATTCCAGATAGTCATGAAGTTGAGCTCCGGCATGGAGATAAGTCTGTGAGTTTGTAGTTTTACATTGTTTCACATTTTTTCATAGCTTGGAAGGTTTTTTTAATGTTTAAAAGATATATATGTACTAAGTGACTAAAAATGCTGAAAGGGAATAGTTTATTGTACTGACTTACATGTAGAAAACAATTGTTTATGCATATTTATAATTGTACGCAATGGTATACATATTAATATTTTGTGTTGTAATGTTTGTTTATGCTATACATTTGCTATAATTATATATTCTGTTTTAATATTTCAAGTACTTTTTTCTTGTTTGTCCCAGGAGAGTAGCATGATCTTTTAGTTAAATGATTTTCTATTTGAATATTTTTTGTTAATTCAATAATAAATAAATAATTTGATCTTTAAATTGGAATTTTTAGTTCTTTAATTTATTTGTTTTTTTACAAGAAAAATTGATACTTTAGTACGTAGACATAATTAACCTAAAATTAATGTATCAGTAATATAAATAAAAATATAAAAATACATAAAATTAATTT